GTATCGTTTCCCTTATGATAATTATATTTTAATTTTTAAATAATCAATTTGATTGCCTCGTAATATGGGTTCAAAGCCTTATTAATTAGTAATTAACATTTACTCACTCGTGCTTTTAAACCATAACTTAACACCTATGAGCAAAATAATTATGTAATTTACTCACCTACAGTATTCAAGCCAGTTCGTAGGGGCTCCGAAATCTTTTCTGTTATTGTATCAACGAGATGTTCATTGTTTTGCTAAATGTTTGAAAATAAATTGAATACCATTATCCATCATACCGAGGGAGTATAATATATGATAAATATCATAATATAAACAAAGACTATACAGTACCTTTTGATAGAGCTCGCATATGGCACGTATCTGGTGCTTGCTTCTAGCAGTAAGTATTTCAATAAGCATGGTTGTATCAACCGGCTTGCTTAAAAAAATGAAGTAGAAAAGTTATGTGCATTTTTTGGAGAGAGGAGTATAAAGTACGATATCATATTTGGATGACGTAACAGCATACTTATAAGTAGTGTAGACAAAAATGTAAATAAATCCATAGTTTAAAGTGTATTTTCTTCTAACTGTTTGTTTCATAAAACCAATATCTCAAAAAATTTAGATATGAAAACCTAGGTAGAACACTCTTAAATTTAATGAGTAGATTAGTAGCGTCCTTGCTTGCCTTAAAACTTATCTCCACCCTGTTCTCTACTGGCGACCGTGGGTGTGTGAAAGAGTTTTAGAAGTGCACTATCGGGTGTATAATCCCTCTAGGGGTAATAATGAATGCAGCACATTCTATAAGAAAAGTTTTTGATTTTAAATGGTGTAGTTAATTCAACGCCAGCGTGAGGTACAGTTATTTCATTAGGCTTAAATCAACTCTCATAGCCCTAAGCGACTGAAGTTAACAAAATTTTTCAGTCGCGAACTCCTGATCGCTTTGAAACATTTCTACAACTCACATAGTTATTGTACCTTGTCAGCTTCATCCGCTATACTCGTAAAAACAACTCTGATTGACACGTCTATAGATTCTCGACACTTTATGTAACAACATGATACATAATTTGGCTTAATTATCAAAAATTTAAGCTATCAATTGAAAGACTGAAGTATATGTGAAAAATATGTGAATTTCGAAGAATTTTATATTTAATGCTTTAGTTCGTGTAAAAAGCTGGGTAGAGGGTAGTTGGATCAAAACGAAAAAAAGATCGACTTAGTGTCGCGATTGATAATTTGCCCGAGTAAGCCCCCAGTACAATGTCTTGCGACCCATATTCACACCATAATGGTCATTTGCCTGTCGTGTGGCAGACGTTATCAGAGCTGAAATGCATCCTTTTACAATACCCATTCAACTCTAAATCAGGAATGGTAGCCAGCTGCAATCCTCCTTAGTTCTTTATACCTAATATTATGTTGTCTTGGCCAGGCATCTTGTGGTGGATATGGATTCAAGCTTTACTTATTTGAGCGTCTATTTAATTTTTAAAAATGATGTTGAGAAACTTATAATATTTTCTATTGTCAGCAGATAATTAGCTCAGACGCATAGACTGCGGCGATATTAACCCACGCACTGTAACAGTGCAAATACTAAAGACAAATAATTCGAAATTCTTAAGTGAGATCAGTAATCACTTACGTTTGCAAGACCTGTCTAAGCGTGGCGACGTCTCTTTCCAAACGTTTGTGGTCAATTAGCTGGATGAAATCTCCAGTAACTATGGCATTCTGGATAAGATCGGGATCGTCTTCCTCCCTGGAGGCCCTTAACAGGCAAAGCATCAAGTGTTGATATTCACCCTTGCATTCTTTAGTGACCGATTGATCCAAAGATTGCTTTTCCACTGTTGAGCAAATTAGTAAAAAGAAAAGAAGCATTTGCGAGGCTTCAAGAATGTAAGTGGACTCTTTTAAACTAACAAACTGTTCGTAGGTATGAGGATTAAGATGGCATTGTCGTGTTTTGACAGATGCATAGAATCGGTATGATCTCGATTTTGTAACTTGGTCAAGGTGTCATGGAGACCATAAATATCTTATTCCATACTTCTTCCTCTGCCATAGAATAGGACCGCTCTCTTGGTAAATTCTCAGATATTCCGCCAGTATCGTAGTCGGTGGTCTTAGGTGGTCTCAACAATGAGACAAAATATCTGCTAAGCTCATTTTTCGTTTTTAATATGTAGGATTTCGAGACTTCCAGTAGATCATATATAAGATGTATTCACCATGTTTTGTTTAAAGTGATGAAGGACTGATAGTTGAATTTTTCCCATACGATATCAGTAAGAGTTACGTTTACATTGCATTTCACACAGTCTTGCTTGGACTGTGGTTTCGATCTCGTCTAGGTCTTATCAGCATCTCCAGAGAGAAGCAAACCGTGATAATGCAGCGATATATCTCAAAATGCTGACCCCTACGATACACTAGTATAAATTTCCTCAAGTCAAAGGACAGAAGTGAATTTCTTTGGAGGTTAGGATTTTTCCATAATACATTCTGTGTTGGGATTATCGATCAGGCAAAGCTGTATTTACTATAGCAATAAACTAAATTACTTATTAGAATTGTTAGGGGGACCTTCATTTCG